AGCCCTGCAGGACTCCCCATAGTACCCAGAAACTACTACAGCAGGCAGTGACCCCTGAACTACCTCCTTTTGTCCTTGTGTCCCCTTGGCAGATTATCCCAGTTGTCCTCCCCCCCACACCCCCACACCCCCACACACCCCCGTCCCCATGCCTGGTGCCACAGGCACTTAACGATTTGCTCCTTAATTGTCCCCCAGCTAGGCTGCGCAGATGCCGCTCTTTAATCTCTCCTGATAAATGAATAGCGCTGCTCCTTTAATCATATGTTCATATCCAAGCCAATTTGAATCAATTTGGCAGGGAGCGTGTTGCAAGAGATGCCATGACTGCTGTTTCTCCCCCTAGGGTCCCCGAGTCTGAACAACTGCTGTCCTCACCCTCAGTAAAGAGCCCAGGAGGCCCATGGGGGAAAGGAGCTCCTAACTGAGTGGTGAGGACTTTTAAAGTCATCTCATTCATTTCTGTCCTACAAGCAAGCTGTGTGGGACTGGAAGACGGATTCCCATAGGCCTCAGAAGTGGAAGGGAGGGAGATGAGTCCATCACCTTCCTTGGTCACTGAATAAAGGGCCCCGATATTTCTGTGAGAAAATGCTGCCTTGAATCTAACCTTAATCCTTTCTGTTCCCTTTTCATTTTCTCTGAGCTGGTTCTCAGGGATGCTGGAACATTTCATCACCTCTTATATAGCAGTATTCCAGACTAGTCTATGATAATCCGTCCTTGCCTGCTACTGTTGGCCACACTCCTTTCATCTTCCCCTATGACATAGTCTTATTGAAAACCTCCAGCCTGGTGGGCAGTCCCGGACATGCGTGGTAATGTACCGAGTTCTGCCGGGTTGGGGGCCGCTGCCTTTTCGCCTCCGGAATGTGTCCACGTGCTGCAGTAAAAACAGCAAAAGTAGACTAAACCTCCTCAAATGAAGGCTTCTGCCACTAGTGCTGCGATCTTAGAAAACTCGCCTCAGTTTCCTCATGCGTAAAATAAGATAGTATTCGTGCCAACAAGAACCTTTGGCTCCCAAGTTCAAGGCCCCTTACTGTAACCAATAGATCTCCTACCCGGCCCCCTTATCACCAGGGTAAGGAGTCCTAGGGACGTCAGAGGGGCAGGGAGGAACATCTCCTGGCGCGTGGTCTGTCTGGGGTTGGTTTCCGTGCAGTCGCCCCTTTGCACTTTAGGACCCTTTTCATTTCCTTGTCTCCTTTCCTCGCCGCCTCTCAGTTAGTGTAGGCAGGTGCCCGGCCATTCACTGGGAAACCAGGGAGTTATTAGCATAATCAGATTTCTCTTGCCTCCGGCCCCAGTGGCCTCTGGCTCCGCCCCCGGATGGAAGATCTTCCCACCCTTTCCGGAAACCACGCCTCTTAAAAGGGTAATGTTCGTGGTTTTAGTAGCGCTGGGGGTCGAGCCCAAGGCCTTGTGAACGTTAGGCAAAGGTGTACCACTAAGCCACATCCCCAGCCCTGCAGTGTTAGTTTGTCTTAAGCTGATGACTGGGCCGAGCCAATGGCGCTGTCCTTTAATAATTACAGCGACCTGAGGTCCGATCTACATTAAGCAACGAGCTATTGTTTCCTCGCCCTTTTAAGGGCTCCCGGCAGTCCTTAACCTGAGCCGGGGGCGGGGAGGTCCCCAGCCCGTCAGTCGTGACCTATGCGTTGATGAGGAAGGTAATAAAACCAATAGCAGTCCCTGCTCGTTGAGCACTTACTATGTCCTCAACACTTGGCCTATAAATCCCGTTTAATATTAGTCACAATTCTGTGAAGTGTTGTCGCTATTAGAAAACTGGGGCTGGGCGGGGGATTTAGTTCAGTGGTGCCCCTGCCTGCCTTGCAAGCGCAAGGGCCCGAGTTCGATAGTAGGTACCAAAAAGAAAAAAAAAAAAAGAAAAGAAAACAGGCTCAGAGAAGTGATGTCATTCTTCCAAGTAAGGTCCTTAGCTTGGTTCCAGCAGCTGGCCAGGCATCTCAAGCTATTCTGGCCTCATCAGAGAATGAAAAGCTTGGAAAGCAAAATGTCACTGTCATGGACCTCACTCATCTCAAATCACTGTGTGCTTGGTAGTCACCAAGCCCTGGCTGTAGGAAGGAAACACTTCTTGGCAATTTGGGAAAGAAAATACCTACCTTACATTTGTGTGCTCTTTACAATTTTCAGAGCATCCCCCATATACATGATCACATTTGCACTTCCCACCCACTGTGCCAACGACATGAATAACAGTTCCACACTGCCCAAAATGCATATTTTAAGCTATATTCACTTCAGTCTAATTTCATGACAGCACAACAGAACAATTCATCCCATTCTATGCAATTTGATCTGGGAGGAGAGATATCCAGAGCAATAGCCATTTTGGAGTTACAAGGATGCTAGAATTATTTAGAAGGAATTTTACAGAGAAATTGAGTTTTCTGTGGTCCCTGTGATGGGTCATATAAATAAAGGAGATTCTAAAGAGGCTGTGTGCTTTGTGATTGAAGTCGGTGACATAAATCTCCCAGTGGAATACCTATATGTGCAGAAAGAATTTGCTTTCAATATCAAAAGTCAGCTATGACAGTTTTATCAAAAAAGTTTTAAAGGATATTAAGTTTTGACACCATTCAGGCAAATTATATTTGAGGTGGCTTAAGAGTCAAAGGGTTTCCACATTTTAATAAATTTTTATATGTTTTGTGCCACATTTATGATCTGACTAGATTAGGAAAAGAAGCAAATGGATTTGGGGAAGAAAGGACACTAGAGAATTTGAAAGTGGAGAATATTATTTAAGGACTTTTAAAAAAAGATCTTGCTATGAGGAAGAGGCAGCCAGTATTTTCAAGGCTTTGAAAGGTTAATGACTAACAGCCAGGCAAGCATAAAATCGTATGTGATAGAGTAGGTCTCATGGCTCATCTTAACCCTGGGGCCCAGCATCAAATGAAGTTTGCCACCCTTGCTGGAGAGCAGCTTCCAGCCCCCAAGAGACTTCTGTCTTGTAGGGAACAGGGGAGAGTGACACTCCCTGGAATGCTCTGCCCTAGAAGCGCAGCTCTCCAGGCTGCTTCTGTGGTCCTGGAGCTCCTCTGTGGGGTTGTTCTTTCTGGTGGATCACATACTTAGCACCAAGCAGGATTTAACGAAGGTGTATCCATTCCCAGAACTGGTGAAATAATGTCTAGAGAACCAACTAGAGAGTGAGGCAATCTCAGCTTTGTTAATGGGTTATTAAAGTTTCTTGTATACATGACAAAAGTGTATATGAAAATGCAGATCGGTAAGTAAATATTAGGTTGCTGGGGATAAAGCTCAGTGATAAAGTACTTGCTTAACATGTCCAAGGCTCTGGGTTTGATCCCCAGCATCACAAAAAAGATAAATATTAGAAGGAGCTAAGTATGGTGGCACACACTGGTGGTACCAGATACTCAGAAGACTGAGGCAGGAGGAGTCCAGGAGTTCAGGGCAGACCTGGGCAACATAGTGAGATCCTGTCTAAAAATATATACATATATATGTATATACACTTTATATATAATCATATATACATATATATGAGAGAAAATTTTATTTTGGAATGTGGGATTAGAGATAAAGTATCTGTGCTCTTTTTTTATTGTTCTGTGCTCTTAATATCAAATTTTTATGCAATTTTAAAAGTCAGTACCTCCAGGGATTTAGCTCAGTGGTGCCACCGCCTGCCTCGCAAGCACAAGGTCCCAGGTTCAATCCCCAGTACCAAAAAAAAAGTCAGTACCAATGTGTGTACCAACACCAAAGAGGGTCTCTCAAATTGTCATATAAGGGTAGTTGTAAGAGTAGCTTCTTTCTCAGCATTTCCTGTATGAAATGGGGGGGGGGGTTAAACCATGTGGCAAAGCTGCTTAGAAACTGCTTAGATCCCTTACTCGGGGAAAGCTGTTCTTAAAGCAGCAGGCATCTCCTGACAAGACTGAGAGTGGAAGAGATTGAAAGGTGGAACTTGAACCAGGTATTTAGGGGACAGGATCAGGGGCAGGGAGAGAAGAGTATCTAGACCTCTCTGTTCCATGTGGCCTGGAGCCCTGCAGGTGATGAGTATAGGTGAGGACATTCATGTTCCTAAAGGGAATGGTGGTGGAATTTAGATAGTCATTTAAAATATCTGTGTCGAGGTTACACCCTTTTGATTTTTTTATAATCTCTAAGGGTGGGAGTGGCTCACTGGCCAGACTTTGTGCCTTGCTGATTAGATTTGTGCTTCTAATACCTGGTTCCAGCTGAGAAAGTTTAGCCCCTTAAGGAAAAAGTATTGCTAAGGAGTCCAGTGACCAGGGAGTTTCTGTGAGAAAATGAGGTTTCCTGTAGAAGGGGCACCCAAGAAGGTCTGGGGAGAGTAAGTCTCCTGGGGTATGTGATCTCCATCTCCCCACCCCCACCCCTTGCTCCCCAGTAGAAATCAGCTACAAATCTCAGCTTGTTGGAAACAGATGGCCTTGGCTGATGAATAAGCCACTGCAGGCTGCTCCACCTGTTCTCAGGCTGGAATAATCAGCTCGAGACAAACATCGGCGCTGAAATAACTCATGGCAGCGGGTGATGTGCAGGCACAGATTCCAAAAATCTCTTAAGCAGACCCCCTCCAACTCTCTCCCCTCCTCAACCCAGAGGCCACTGGGGAAAGGTAATGGAGCAGAGAAGACTGATTGAGCCCCAATCTGAGCGAGAGGCCTGAGCTGGTGGTGCTACGGCAGGGCTGGGTGGAGGGCAGAGCTGAGTTCTAGGGTGGGGTCAGGGCATTAACCTTGGTGAGGCAGGAAATTATTTTTCATGGAGATGGTGGGAATGGTCGGTGTGTGAGTGAATCAAGCCTGAGAAGAGCCAACCAGTGCAGGATGGGAGAGACCTGAAAATTTGGGGTGCATTTGAATTTGTTTATTAAAGGAGTGATATGCAAATGAGATCTAGTTCCCAGGGAATCTCTCAGCAGCTCAGACAGCTCTGGCAGCAGCCACCGGAACCTTCTTCCCTAACTGTGAGTGCCTGGATGCCTGTGAATTTACGGACATGTGTTCACACCACCTTTCACCTCTCTGATGAAGTCAGCTGGGCTAATGTTCCCTGGCAGAGGCAGATGAGCCAGTCAGAGAGAATGACAGCACCAGGAAGCAGTAGGGAAGGGCAGTGGGGGTTCTGGTTTCCTATAAAGCCAGTCAGGACGAGAAGAACAAGGCTGATTGCTCATGTCGGGTGTCTCAGGCAGGCAGCTGGCTTTCCTGGGTCCAGCCAGATGCTAGGCCTGGTTTGTGGAGTGTGAGGGTTTTGAGTCCCCAGAGGTTGGGTAGACACACAAGGAAGAAGCCTGCAGAGCCCTTTGGCCCCAGAGTTGCATTTCTAGCTGCCAGTTATTTATGCCCCCAAGTGGGCCCTGCTGTACTGCTTAGGGCCAGGGCCCTCCCCTCTTATGTAGGGTCCACCAAACCAAGTCTCTCCCTAGAAGCTGGTTCTTCTCTTTCACACAGGTCAGTGGCAGCCTATGCTCCTAAACACCAGGCTCTGCTGCATATCAGAAACACTCAAGGAGCTACTGCTATTTGCTTTGTGTACAAAAAGTAAAAGGAGTAATAAAATAAACCTCTTTACCCCTCCCACAGCCTCAACAGTTATCAATCTTGCCCTGTCTACTTCCCCATTCCCTCCACTGGCCGATGTTGAGGCCGACTGCAGATCTGATGGCCTTTCATCAGGAAATACTCCAGTATTGATTCTCTGAAGAAAAGAAAATAGCTCTTTAAAAAAACATAATCACAATGCTCTTATTACACTTTAAAAATGATCAATAGTTTCTTAATATCAAATACCTAATCAATGTTTACATTATTCTGATTTTATTATATATTTTAATTATATGAGATATATATTATATATATATATATATATATATGATTTTTTTTTTCAAACCAGGATCCAAACAAGGTTGAGGAATTTTTTTTTTAAATCCCATGCTCAGGGCCTTTTCTCCAAGGGATTCTGATTTAATTGGCATTGGGTGAGGCCCAAGCATCATTTTTTTTTTTTTTTTTTTTAAACCAGGGATCAAACTTGGGTCCTTGTGCTTGCAAGGCAGGCACCAGAACCACTGAGCTAAACCCTCAGCCATCAAGCATCATATTTTTTTAAAGCTCCCTGGGTGGCTTTAATGTGTAACCAGGGTTGAGAAATGCTTTACCTTTTCTCCACCAGGAGTTTCTTGCCAACTTCACCACCAGGCTGTTAAATATTTCTCCCAGGCTCTAGCCATAGGCCAAGCAGCTGGCAGAGCACCAGCCCGAATCTGCCAGCCCAACAAGTTGAGAGCCGGGTCTTCTCCAGCCTCTTCTTTCAGGTGTATTCAGCTCTCTGTGGACAGAGCATTCCTTTCCCTCCAAATTCACACACCCGGTGTGACTGCTGCTCCTATCCCTTTCTCCCCGAATATGCCTGGTGCTTGTTCTTGCCTTGCAAGCGTAGCAGATTTTTTTTTTCCACACATGAAAATAGCAAAATTCCTGCCTCAGGAAAAAGTGAGAACTTCCCCAGGGGCTCAAGTGGCTGCATGGGGAGCTGGAAGCTGAGCAAGGGGCCTGCTGGGGGCTTGGCAGCAGATGTAAGGGTAACGGGATTTGAACCGGATTTGAACCCAGAACATTTCAGAGAATCTAAGAAATTAGTCTCTCCTTAAGATGCTGGCCCCAGGAACATGTTAAAGAACTATGCCCACGTCCCTAGCTAAATGCCTTTGCTCCCAGGCCAGCTGAGAGACTGCCTTCCCACGGTGGCAGCTGTTTCTATACTCTGCTCCTCTACCCCTCCATTCCACTTACCTTTTGGGTTTGTTCCTCCCTCCTGTCCTCCTGTGTCCCCACTCCATGCCTCACTGAATGTTGGTGAAACAAATCTAGTCTAAAATAATGAGCAATCAACTACCCTGATGCTCAGGGGCAGGCTGGGCAAGGCTGAAGGAAGGAGTGGGGAGCTGAATCATTTATAAAGCTTAATAAAGATGCAGATGAGCAGTGCTGACTAGGAACCCCAGAGCTGGGCTTATTCATTATTCAAAATTATGTAAATGCCACTGGGTCCTGCATGTTACAATCCTGCCCCTCATCTCTGCTGCCTCTCTGGGGCTGACAGATCCAGCCCACTTTGTGCCTCTCCCTCTTCCAAGGGGCTGGTGTTAGCCCTGGCTTAGGAATAGCCCAGGCAACCATTTCCCATAATACCCCTGGGGTAAGAAGAATCCTAGATCCCATCTCCAGCCAACAGTCTTCCAGAATTTTGGGGAGGAGGCCCTGGCCTTCAAATGAGATTCTACAGGCTCAAGTAGATGAGCTTCTCATGGTTTAAGATTTCTGAGAAGAGAATTCCCTAAGAAGGCTTGTGTGTGTGTGTTTTAATATCTCACATGTCTCCCTACTGGGATGGATTCCCTAAGATCTAGCCTAAATACTTCTTGCTGCACTGAAAGCCCATTACTGAAATAACCAAATTCCTTTGAGTTACCCTCCCTAAGGAGTGAGAAGCAGACCTCCAGTAACTTTCTAGCCTGCCATCTCTGAGTCGACTCTTCCTGGTTGCCTCCTTTTGCCTCTCTAGACAACTGTACCTCTTGTAAGTTAAACTCACACCCGTTCTGGGATACCAAACTCCCGTGAGGGCTGAACTACAGGGGACCTGACCACACTATGTATCTCCTCTTTTCCCCACCAAGGCTACTGATACATACCTCACAATCACCCTCCCCGACTCCTCTCCCTCTGTGCCAGTCTTAACCTGCTTCCCCATTTGTCAGTTTGGTGAGGCTGAGAGATGAGGAATTGGGTCAGAGTCATGATGGCATTGATTTCCTCGGCTCTCCCTCCTTTTCGGGCCTGGCTGTCCTCCTTCCTTGCCCCCAGTCTATTTTTAGCCTGCCTCTGTTTTCCTTCTTCTGGTTGGCAACCACCACGGGCCTCTTTCTCTTCATTGCCCTTATCTCTCCCCTGCAGCCTGTGCATACCCCTGCTGCCCTTCCAGAGGTCTCTGACTGCCTGCTCGAATGATTTTGATTTTCTTCCATCTCAGAGATATGTAAGGGCTGCCTGGCCATGCTCAGCCGGAAGGGAAGCCAAGAGATAACTCTGTTCGGGCAAATCCTTCAATATTACAGGAACCCTTAAGTTGTCTTCCAACCCCTTCTGCGTTGACCTTTGTTTTCCACTATGCCCAAAGATTATTTCCTACATCTCCTCTCCCCTCTATGATTCCACCTTGCCCCAACTAAGAAATGCTCACTTCCGCCCATTTGGACATTTGGGGCCCACTGCCTTTGACTTTGGGGGTGTGCAGCACCCCTGGAAATACTGCCTGCCTTTCTGATCGTCACATTGTCCGTCTCCTCTTATCCAATTCTTTGTCTTGCTCCATTCCTCCCTGCCCTCATCCTTCTCCGCACACTCATCCTACCCTACTGGCCCTGCTCTCCTAATTCCCCTCCCTAGCACACTATGGGCTGTTTTGCTAAGGCCTTCATTAGCTCAGGCAGGGCTGGGTAGCATCCCCCACTTGTCCTTTCTCAGCCTCCTGGAGACATTGGTCCTCTCCTGTAGCTGTCATCATGGAGCTGCATAGGCTGGATATTTTGGAAGGGGAGCTGCAGCTGGCTGGGGGAGGAGAGGGTGGCACCAAGCAGGAGAGAGGACTCCAGGCAGCTGTGGAGCCAGAGGGGACGTCCCTTTCTCCTCAATTTGTCAGCGGGAAAGCTGCTAGGATCACACTGTGGTCCCTCTCTGTATCTCATTTCTCTCTCCTCCTCCTCAATCACAACACAACGTCTTGCTTTCTAATTCATGGCACTCTTTTACATACATCCAGATACTCTCATGGCTCACTCCTCCTCCATGTCTGCAGAGAAGCCTCCTTTTCAGTGAGACCCACTTTGACCCCTCACCAAAAAGGTCACATTCTTTTTGTTTTGTTTTTTGGGGTACTGGGGATTGAACTCAGGACCTTGTGCTTTCCAGGCAGGCGCCAGAACCACTGAGCTAAATCTCCAGCCCAAAAAGGTCACATTCTTGGGCCAGGGATTTAGTTCAGTGGCATCAAGCCTGCCTCGAAAGCACAAGCACAAGATCCTGAGTTAGATCCCCGTACCAAATTTTAAAAAAAAGGTCACAATCTCCCCAGCACTCACTGTGAGTGAGTGAAATCAAGGTGAGCCCTGATCTGTTTTCCCCTAAAGCACTTATCAACTTCTAATAAAATTTACTCACACATATTGCTTACATATCATCTCACTGGACTATAAGCTCTGTAAAAATAGGCCTTTTTTTTTTTTGAGACAGGGTCTTGCTATGTAGTACAGGCTGGCCTTGAATTCACTATGTAGCCCAGGCTGGTCTCAAACTCACAGTAATCCTCCTGCCTCGGCCTCCCCAGTGTTGGGATTACAGGCGTGAGCCACCTCACCCAGTAAGAATAAGACTTTCAAAATATATTTGTGTATTGAATGAATGAATGAATGAATGAATGAATGTAATATAAACTGGGCACAGTGGTACATTCCTGTAATCCCAGCACTCTGGGGGGATGAGGCAGAAGGATCATGAGTTCAAACCCAACCTTGGTAATTTAGTGACTTTCCTAGACCTGTTTCAAAAAACATAAAGAGCTGGGGATGTCATTCACTGAAAAGCCCCTGGGTGCAATGCCCAGGACCGAAAAAAGAAAAATAAATAAATACACATAACATAAACTTTACCATCTTAGTCATTTTTAGGTATATAGTTCTGTGGCATTGAGTACATTCCTATTGTGCATCCAATCTCCAGAACTCTTTTCATCTGGCAAAACTAAAATTGTACACATAAACAAATCCTCCTTCTGTTTTTTTTTTCTTTTGATACTGGGGATCGAACTCAAGACCTTCCACTTTCGAGGCAGCGGAACCACTGAGCTAAATACAGGCCAAATCCTCCTTCTAGCCCCTGGCAATCATCATTCTACTCCCTATGAATCTGACTATTGGACTCATATAAATGAAATTGTGTGGTGGGTCCTTTTGTGTCTGGCTTGTTTCACTTAACATGTCCTCAAGTTTCCTCCCATGTTGGAGCATGTAGCAGAGTTTTCTTCCATCTTAAGGCTGGATAATGTCCCATTATGCACTCTACATTTTATTTATCCATTCATCTCTCAATGGACATCTGGGTTGTTTCAACCTCTTGGCCATTGTGAATTACGCTGCTCTAAACGTGAGTGCATAAATATATTTTTGAGACTCTAATTTTCAATTCTTTTGGGTATATACCCAGAAGTAGAATTGCTGGGTCATGTGTTAATCTATTTTTAATTTTTTGAAAAATCACTATACTGTTTTAGAACAAGGATTTTTATCTGTTTTGTTTACTGACACATGTAGTGCCTGGCACAGTGCCTTGCACATAGTAGAGGCTAAATGAATATCAGTGCATTGAATAAATGAGTGAATGAGTGAGTGATCTTATTGAAGCCTCACACTTCCCTGTAGAGTTGATCAGTATTATTGTTCTCATTTTACAGAGGCTGCGGCTCAGGGAACCACTTGAAATCACCCAAAAAGCAGACTTGGCATGGGGTCGACATGATCAGCTGGCTTTTATAACTCACTGGAGAAATCAGTGCTAATACACGTGCCAAGACCTTTAAGGACTGAGGCAGTTGAAGAGTGATTTCCTCTGTGTTGTATTTACTTTGGGAATATTTTGACTCTCATTCTCATTGCTCACTCTTCCCCACTCAGTGATTCCTCCCAACGTATTCAGCTACCCAGTCTTGTCTTTTGTCTCCCTGCAGCATTTAAAATCCTGATCTCTGGGGTTGCAACCAGCCCTATCTGGAGGTCCCCCCTCCCCCTGCTTGGGTTTCACCAGTGCATCCAGGCTCACCTGAGTCCCTGCTCACACCTCGGCTCTCCACCCACCCTGGGGTAGTTAGGAGGCTCTCCACCCACCCTGGGGTAGTTAGGAGCCTGTTCCCATCTGAAGCAATTAGTGCAAGGAGGCCAGCCGACTCGGTGCTAATTCTATTTCATTAAGTGGGAGCAATCCTAATGATAATAAAATGGCACATTTAACATTCAAACATTGAACAGGGCTGCTAAGTGAGTGTGTCTCTCTTTCTTTCTGGTATAACAGCTCCATCTTCATAAGGACCTGACAATACACCTTAATGAGGGACTGGGGAGCTGAGTGTCTGCAGAACCAGAGAGAGGATGAGTATCAGACAAAGAATCCAGAGAAAGAGGGTATAGTGCACTGGGGGGAGCAAGATGCTGTGGCTTCCTAGGGGTAATAGATTCTGTGATGCTAATTCAGACAATTAAAGACTGCAAGAAATAAGGTCACATGGAAAAGAAAGCCCACCACAGTCTTTTATGTAATGCAATTATTTGTTTATTCAACAAATCTTTTTCATCAAATGTTTATTGTGCAGCTATGAGATTTGATGGGAGTTTGTGATGCAGGATGGCTCGAGTTTTAGGGAATGGGAGCCCCAAAGTCAAATCTACCCGAAGTCCCAGAAAAGACAATCAAATGTCCTAGCAAGCGAAAAGGATACATCTCAGGGCCACTTCCTTTATCTGAGAACTGTTTTCCAGCAGAGGCCTGGGCACAGAAGGGAGGCCAGACATCAAAGGTGGGCTTTGCCCAGGCCAGAGAAACGGCTTATCCGAAACGGTGCCAAGTCATAGGACAGCATTAATTTCATGCTTAATTCATACAGTATCTTTCCCACAACAGGGGCCAGCTTGAATCCATGCCCTAAGAGAAGGAGTAAGGTGGTCATGCATCCTCAGGGACAGAAAGGCTGGGCTCTTGAGAAGTTCCCTGCTTACCAAACAGGCTACCCCTCTGCTTGGTCTCATCTGAAATGTAGACATTGTCTCCCACCATGCCCCGCCTCGGTGACTGCCCAGTCTCTTTCTCCACTAAATGCCTGGCCTCTGACACTTGTCTGGGCAGCTAAGAGTATGGAAAATACCATTTTGCCTGGCACTGAGGAAGGTCAAATTGAAGGTTCCCCATGTCCCCCTCCTTGGACTCACCAGAGAATCCAGCACCAATGACAATGTTGTCATACTTCGGGTGACGATCAAGAACAAAGTGCTTATCAGGAGTGT